TTAGCTTTGGACATGAGGGGGAGGGATTAAAATGGCATGCAATCTGTGGGGTTTTTCTTCCTCACCATTATCTAAATTAACAGTTTACTGTTTTCTTTGTGTCTCTTCTATTATAGGCTTAAGTGCTTAATCTAAAGCTTAAGGGCCTTAGCATGAACAAATAGAGAAAAGTCCTCAAGGAAATACAGCTGTGGTCTCTTGAAACAGGCGGTATTTAAAGGACCAAACACACAGATCTCCCACCCTGTAGTTTTCTGTCATATGAAGAGCAAGTGGCCTGCACATGTGTAGCTCTGTGCTGCCAGCACACCCAGTAAACTGAAGGTGGAAAGCTTGCTGGGAGAGGCAAGCTTGGTGCTCTTGAGAGCCCTAGGGAAAAGGCCTCCTTTGGGTGATGGGGAGCTAATGAAACCCGTGGCTACACTGGCTTAGTTTAGGTGGCTTTGCCAAGCCTACAGGTACAGCTTCCCAGCTTTGTTAAATTCCCTGTTAAATCCAGAGGGATAACCTCACCCTACTTCCAGAGCAGTAGATATCCCCCTGCCTGCAAAGACCCAACAAATCCTGCTTTGCTGCTGGAGGAGGAGAGATAATGCACCTCTTCAGGAGGGACTGTGGACAGCCAGAGGACATGGAGGAGCGCTAACTTGGAGACACTAGAAACCTGGGATGAATTTTTGGTAGCAGAGCTCAAGGTACCTCATATCAATAGCTTCTAAGAAGTTATTTTATTTTAGTTTATTCTTTTATGTTGCTGGCTACTGGTCTTGATGAATAAGCATATAATTTGGTTTATTTTCAACATTATCAGCTATTTCTGTGGTTTTTAAGGTGCATGAAGAGTTCTTGGTCAGTTGTTAATTATAATTTATTCTAATTACTGCTTGAATCCCTGAGGAAATTAAATGCAAACCACGTGCAGTTTAGCTACAGAGCTGGCCTGCAAATACACAGAAACTCAGGATGATAAACTGTGTTTTGGTGTCTCCTTCCTCTTGTTAGGCTTCCTCTGGCCAAACTCAATGTATTCAAGCACCAAGCACAGACTCAGGGAACGTATTAATCAGAGACAGAGACCATGCTTCATTATATGTGTTGGTGGCACTCGTTTTCCCAACAATTCAATGTGTTTGTAAACTGGCAGCATAGAATAATTGTCTATGGGGTCATGAAAGGCATCTTAGAAAAATTCTTTGTCAGATAGTGGCAAACCTTCATTAGAAGCAGCTGATAGAGACGGGGAGCAAAGCTGATGCTGGTATCCATCAAAGGCAGAGCCTTGAGAGATTCAGCGGCACAAGGAATGTCCCCCAGATGAGAGGTCCAGCTTCTGTGGAAATGTTGCTTTAGAACTCTAAACAAGGGAGGTTGTTTGCATGGCTGTAGGGTTTTATCCTTAATGTAGTGGGAATATGATGTGAACACTACTGTATGGTAGATAATGTTTTGTTAGAGAGGACTGGTTGAAAGAAAGCTTTATCTCATAAAATGGGATGTTATATCTTAGCTTTTTTTCTCCTGTGGAAATTGGCTACGGTGTCAGTGTTTCTTGTTTGCTTGTTCTCAGGTTAAGCTTTGGAAAAAAGTTATGCTCTCTGAAATGTCACACAATCCTCCCTCAAAGTATTCCCTGCAGATCATATTGTACTTCAATTTTTCAAATATATATTGACCTGAAATCTAATTTCATTGAACATTTTAAATTCGCTACATGTAATATGGAGCTTTTAGTTCTGAAAGAAAATGTCTATTAAAGTAGTGAAAGTATTTGCTATAAAATAATCCTTCTATAGAGTCACAGAATCATAGAATGGTTTGGTTTGGACCTTAAAGCTCATCCAGTTCCAATCCCTTGCCAAGGGGAGGGACACCTTCCACTAGAGCAGGTTGCTCCAAGCCCTGTCCAACCTGGCCTTGAACGCTGCCAGGGATGGGGCAGCCACAGCTTCTCTGGGCACCCTGTGCCAGCGCCTCACCACCCTCAATAGGGAAGAGTTTTTTCCTAGTATCTAATGTAAATCTCCCTTCTGTCAGTTTAAAACCATTCCTCCTTTTCCTATCGCTAGCTTTTCTGTAGCAAACAAACTTCTAAAGTTTGAAGTGAGGATGTCCCACATCCTACAGCTCTGACAACTGAAAGGTTAGCAAAAAGTGGTTAAATGTTCTTGGGATAAAAATTATATTTAGGAATATCCTTAGACCCTTTTCAGTGTGTCACTGCATACATTGAAAAAGGAACGGTGTTGAAACAAGGAACAAAGGAGGCTCTTGTCAGAAGAATACAAACATCTGTGGCCTTATGCACTCTCATCTTTCTCATGCCTTGATACTATGATAAAAGGGAAGCATCTCAGATAGCAGGTCCCTATGGCCAGCAGCTAAACTGTGACACCACAATTGTAGCTGGGTCAGTCTTGGAGGAAAGAAAAAAATAACAAACCACAACAGAAAAAGAAATAAAAAGAAATTATTTTTAATGCTACTGCTGTGGGACCTTAAGTCCAGCACTGAAGGTGTGAGAAGGAGAATGACCTAACCTACTTTATGGTGTTATACCAGAAGCATGAAAGGGAAGGTACAGAAGGAGAAGTGTTGCTTAGGAAAGACAGTCAGGAATAGTACTGCGTATTACAGAAAGGCAGGGTCATATAGAATGGCCATACATGATGCCTCAGGAGAGTTTTCCAAAAAAGAGGACTTCATTGTTGCTCAGGCATGGAGCTGGGTAAAAAATATTTTAACTGTATGTTCTGTTGTGAAAGCCTCCCTTCTTTGGAGTGGCATGCAGATGGGGCGTATGAGCCTGACTTCTGGAAAGCACATGTTCTCCTGGAGCTGCTGGGGTCCAGAGCTTTGATGGAGGACACTGCTCACTGCACTACACCCAGAGGTGGCACTTCTAGCAGCACATATTGCAGGGGTGGGCCTGGTGTCTGCTGGAGATTAGTCGATGGGCACGTGCTTTTGTGTCAGCACCCTTAGGACAATCATATGTCTTAATTTTTCTGCCTCTCAGGTACACCCATCCGCTGCCCTTGGGCCAGGAGCCCCATCTAAGGCCAGTCTGCAGCGGAGCCCAGCCCTGACTCTACAACACGTTGCTAGGACAATTGGAGGGCCAGTCACCAGCCTGCCTAGTGTGGGATGAGGCCCAGAGTGATGAGGGTACTGTTGTGTGTTGGGGTCTCCTGGGTTCCCCACTCATCCCCTCTTGTGAAGCAGCCTGCTTCTGCTTCTCACTCAGTCTGTTTTCATGGCATCTTGTAAAGCTGCATTTATAGCATGAATTAATTGAGCAGATGCTTTTGGTTTCTACTTCAGAAGAGCCATAGGCAGTTGAAAGTCTTCAAAATCTGTGTTTCTCTCTCCTTTTCGTTCTTTTGCACGCCAGATGTGTAAAGAGACACACCTGGATGTTACAGCCACAGGTAAGTTCAGAATAGGCATTAGGAAGTTGAGATTTTTAGAGGAATAATTTTTTTTATGAGTCTCTTCTTTCCCAAGTCTTACTCAGTTTTAAGGGACAATTCATGTAAATTCGTGAAAAAGAATATACAATATGATGATGTGCGAAGGGTTGATTCTCAAGAAGTTTCTTCCAGTTCTGTTTCTGTAAATCTCAGGATCTTTGTGTTAGAGATCCTAGAGAAACACTTGTCTGGAGGGTGCTTATCTTTACTGGGTAATTCTGAGTTTTGAGCCTTCTTCCATCACATTAAGCCCATTTTTGGAAGGCTTCCAGGACCCTCCTCTTCTGACAGCTTTTCTGTCCTCCAGTTGCTTTCCTCCAGTAGAAGGGAAGGGAGCCACTCACTGCGGAACATCCAGCTGTGCCAAAGTTGTACAGGAGTCAGTCCCATGCCAGGGGCTTTTACTGCTTCTGTAGCTCAAAATAAACTCTCAAGTGGGGAGAAATGGAATTCCTCACAACTGAAAGCGCATGCTTTCCAGGCTGTTAGTTACCATCTCAGTGAGGCAGCATGTTCTTCAAGCCCTGAGAGGACTTAAAGCTTCCCATTTCTGACATCTTTATGTAGCAGAGGCTATATGATAGTCTTGGCTTTGCTCATGGGGTCACATGCATTAATGAGGGTGTTGTGGTCCTTCTCTCCCAGGGAAATGGGCAAATCCTTTCTCAGATAACACATGAGTGTGGGGTTGGAAATGAGAAGGCAAGAAGAAGCTGGCTTTCAAGAACGTCTTAGTTATACAGCAGTATGCATACTTTATATTAGACAAAGGGGAGTCTTTTCCTTATTTGCCCTCCCTATCCTGCAGCAGTATTGCAGACATCTCTAAATGGTGAATCTTCAGCTCTGAGCCTCCTCTTAAAATTTCTCCCTGCCATGCCTATGTGGTCTGTTCTTGTCAGTATAGCTTGCCCCAGCGTGGTAGAGGTCTGTGCATCAAGGACAGAGAACAAACTCTTACCTTTTTTTCCCCTTTTAATCCGTGGGCACTTCTCTCTGTTTTGCTCTAGTTTCCAAAGTAATTTTGGGGAGCGTGTGTGTGAGGGAGCAGGACAGAAAACCTCATTGGGGATTATATGAGGCTACTTTCAGCAGAGCCTATACTATGCATTGTGGCATTATGTACCCTACCATGGATGGGCAAGAAGGGGTGGGGGACTCCTTAATACCTGGAGTTTGGCAGGATTAGTCCTCTCAGGAAGAGCAGCAATGTTAAATTACAATATAGAGGATAGCCAGTATATGGCTGTAGGTACACCACAGAAATTCTGTGTTTGTACTCTATATTTACTTTTTGGGACTGTAATAAAAGCTGATTTTGTCTCTACAGCTGAAGGATCTGAGAGCATTTTTCCCTATGATGTTATTAAAGAAAAGAATATAGCCACTACAAAGGTATTTTCACATTTATTACTAACTTTTTTTGACCGAAGTAGTACGTGCCAGATGAATTATCACTGGTTGTCTGTCCCAGTTTTTGTCACCTAATATCATGGCTTTTTGTGTCTATCCTTAGGAGATGTAGCTCCAAGACTGACAGGGATAATGCAGAGACCTGGAAGTCAAATAAAAAGCAGAAGTGACTAACTGGCAGGAACAGAAGCCGGTAAGTACTGCAGTAAAAGTGCTATTTAACCTGCTGGCTAATACAAAAAGGTTATTTCTACAGCAACTAGTGGAACAATGTATTTAGCAATTAAATTAATCCAAACAAATAGGGATTTTAACCACATTGTCCTGGCTAAATTCCAGTTTAGGTAATTACATTCTGGCTGCCTGCATTCCCTCTGGTGTTTTCTTCTGGGTAAGTTACAGCTTACACTGCGCGTGTGTGTGTTGGAATTGTTATGAGCAGTTGTGTAGCATGTCAGCATCTGGTAGAACCTTTCTGGTAAAAAACCCAGAGGTGAATGCATTTCTGTGGAAGTAAGGAGTGACTGTTTTGTCATACTTAACCTGTTAGTAGGATGCAACAAATTGCAGGACTGGCATGTTACAGCGATGGCTGCAATATAAACAGATAGGCAGTGGTTAGAAATACAGTCTGACAGCCAAGCTGGATTAGCACTTTCTTTCCTCCCCACCCTTCCTGTGTTACACTTTCCTGTGCTTCCTTCTTAAGCTGAACCTTTTTGTTTATGTCCAAGCCAGCTTGAAGTGGCTGCCTGTATTTTTGATCATGTCAGTTCATCCTCCTGGTTCACAGGGTAGCCAGATAAACAAGATGCACAGGTGGAACCAAGAGGTGGCACTGAGGTGAGGAAAGAGGGACTGGGTAAACCAGCTCTGAGACAAAGCATCCACTCCCAGTAACACATGTGCTGCTCCATCCGTTTTTGGGATATTCAGCTGAGGCTGACACATTCCTAAAGCTCTTCTGGGGAAATGCAATGAAACACTGAATTGAGGTCTAGCTTACATCTCCTACTGTAGCTGATACACAGCAGTCTCTGTCTGTGGCCTTGATACCATTTTGAAGGGCCAGGAATATCACAGTAATTTAATTCATTTTATTGATTGCAAGCTCATTTGGAAAGGATCTTCCCTGCGAAGCTGAAATGTGCAAACACAAGTCAAGGGTAATGTACTGCATTCTCCATGAATTTCTCTTTCCTTTTCCTGTTTCATCTCAGAAAACATGGCATATTTTGTGAGCTGCAAGATGATTAAGATGTAGCTAGCATACAGTGAACAGGTCAGGGAGTCCTTTTTCCCCTCTGCTTTTTGATGTAGCTAAAAAGAAGGCTCATCTTTCCAAACATGAGGCACTAAGAATCCATTCATATAGGTTACGTACAAGGTACAAGTGAGCAAACACACTAGCTTTGGGATGTGGTGTCACCAGGGAAATTCAGAAACAACAGCATTTTAATTGTGGGTTTTGGACAGCTTCACCAAAACACACACATCCTGTTACCATAAGCAGCACTTGGGAGCAGTCTCTTCATGGTACTGCTTTGTAGAAAGTGAGGAGGACACATTCAGCTTCAGCTAAGAGCTGCAGTTACCTGGAGATCGGGCACATGCATACCACTTCACAGGGAGCATCTGAGGGCAGTCAGCTCACTGTTACGTGCAGCAGAATGAATTAACAGGAATAATGAGGTCTGAGGCAAAGACGTGGTTCCTTTCACCTAGACAAATGGTCTAGCAGCTGTGCAAAACACGTTCCTTGGGTGAATGAATTAATAAAAATGAACAGTGCCGAGCAGATTGTAAGAATTGCTCTGGATCACAAAGATCTTTTGGTGATTAAGTCAAAAATCTGCAAAATTTAAGAATTGTTTTTATTTATTCATCAAAGGGAAAGCCTTTTCAGCAGGATAAACAGAAAACAAATGCATCAGCTTTAAGCTCTTCTTAATGAGTTTAATTTACTTCTGTTAAAATGATTCAGCCGTCACCATTTCTCTACAGTAGGTATTTTGTTGGGAAAACTAATTTGAATGCGTATGATAGATGAACTGCATTGAAAATACCAATTTTTATCAGCTCTAACCCTTGATCTTAATTAGTTCCACATCTGCTTCCATAGAAACAACAATATGATCAATAAAATACTACAGCTAGCTGCTTGTGCTGAGGAAGTAGGCGGGAGAAAAAGTATTTTCAGTTATTTGCTTCTGACCAGCTTGTGGACACAGCAACAAGTGTACTGTATGGCCCTCAAAGGCATTGCTGGACTTGATCAAGGGCCTCATCCCTGCTAATAAGTACATCACTTAGTGAAGTTCCCTCCACTGTGCATATGGGTAAGATACAGCGGTTGTACCTTTCTTCCCATTGATTGACAACAGTTCTGGTGGGGGACAATGGAAAGGACCACTTCTAACTTTTTTCCATGCAGAGAGGAGTCAGATCAATATCCAATATCTATTCCGTGGGTGGAACACCTGTGTCTTGTCCTCTATCCGCAGGAAAAGGTCAGGACAAAGTGAAGTACAGCTTCATGGTCCTTGGAACACATTTGGGTAATCTCCTCCAGCTGCCTGAGTACTTGTACCACCAGCACTTGCAACACTCTCCCTTTCACACAACCATATTTGGGATTTGTAGACCTTGTGCTAAACTGTCTGAGGGGTATAAAGTCAAAAGCAATAAATCCTTGACATCTGACTCCTACAGCAGTGCTTTGTAAGCCAAGTGTGTTATGCTATGTCATTTTCAGCCTTCAGAGTAGCGCACTCAGAAGTCCATTAGTGGGCACTCTGATGTACCTTGTTCGAGTCTGAGGTTGAAGGAATGTAATTTAGCCTAAGTATATTGTTAATCAGTGGTTATGCTTGGTTTTTGGAAAACACTTTCTTGGAAAAGAGTTACCTAGAAAGAAGCCATGTTCTATTCAGAAGGGCTCATGAGGATTGGCATATTGTCATGATGGAATTCAGGATAAGGACATAACCATATCACTTAGTGACATATAATCCAAAATGTATTTACCAAGTGGGATGGGCCTGGAGAGTGAATAACAATTTTTATGCTAAGATAAAAATTGCAGTGTGCAATATACCATACGCTGGTTTGTATCATGACCAGTGTGACTAGCAGGTTGAGGGAGAGGATTCTCCCCCTCTGTTCCGCTTTGGTGAGACACCCTCCTCTGCAGTCCTATGCCCAGCTCTGGGGGTAACAACACAAGAGGGACATGGAGTTGTTGGAGCGAGTCCAGAGGAGGCCATGGAGATGCTCTGAGGGCTGGAGCAGCTCTGCTCTGGAGACAGGCTGAGAGAGCTGGGCTGGTTCAGCTTGGGGAAGAAAAGTCTTTAAACTGACAGAGGTGAGATTTAGATTAGACATTAGGAAGGAATTCTTCCTTTTGAGGGTGGTGAGGCACTGCCCCAGGTTATATAATCACTTTTTGCTAACCTTTCAGTTATCAGAGTTGTAGGATGTGGGACATCCTCACTTCAAACTTTAGAAGTTTGTTTGCTACAGAAAAGCTAGCGACAGGAAAAGGAGGAATGGTTTTAAACTGACAGAAGGGAGATTTACATTAGATGCTAGGAAAAAATTCTTCCCTGTGAGGGTGCTGAGGCGCTGGCACAGGGTGCCCAGAGAAGCTGTGGCTGCCCCATCCCTGGCAGTGTTCAAGGCCAGGTTGGACGGGGCTTGGAGCAACCTGCTCTAGTGGAAGGTGTCCCTGCCTGTGGCAGGGGGTTGGAACTGGATGAGCTTTAAGGTCCTTTCCAACCCAAACCAGTCTGGGATTCTATGATTTCTGCTCAAAGACACTTACATGTGCCATACTGACACCAGTCAGGGCCTCAACCCTCCTGGCCCAGTTTGGACCAGCACCTAGGGGAGAGAAAAGCTTGCTCTGGCAGATTTATTCAGGTCCTGGCTTGCTGCTTCTCTACATAGCATTTCCACCTCCTCCTTGACCTTCTGCATGGCATCAGGCAGCCGTGGGGAAACTTGTCTCCGAGCTCATTAGGATCCCGTCAACTCCACTGTGGCTGATGTTTTTTAATCCAATTTCAGTCACATTGTCAGTATGATGCCACATGTATTTTATCCATCTATATCTGAATAAATTTTTGTATAAACCATGATGACCTCTTGGTATGTTGTATGCATTTTTAATGCATTGAAGTACTCTCTGTTAAGAGATACATAGTGCCTCTCTATACAGAAAGAATGTTTTACTACTCAGGGAGTTAACAGTTGGCTTAGTCAAGCACAAGAGGGCTGTACCCTACCTGTCAGAGATATGGATGTTTCCAAAGAGGTGAGAGTAATTAATAGTCTAATAAGAAATGTCAAATAATTCTATGAAGAAGGATAGGGGAATGAGAATGAAACTCAGAAACTCAATGAATCCTCAGGGAACCTCCCCTGTAGAAGTGCAAACCTCAGCCTATTTCCCCACACTTCAAATGCAAGTGAATGTATGAATGTAAGTCAGAGGTAAAGCACTGGTAGAAAACAGGAGCCTTGGCTAGGAGTCTGCAAGTAATAACTTGAAAAGCTGAAAGTGTGAGAGACTTTTCTGCAGACAAGGTAAGACACATGCTTTGCAATTGTGTTTATATGCTTTGGACTTTAATAAATTGATACTTGCATTTGAAGTCTTTTTAACCTGGTTGAAGTTCTGAGGGGTTTCAAGATTATTAGCATCGAGGTATCCCATTTCTGTTAGAGAGAGACCTTTGCAGTCATTGGGGTACTGGTATTTTGTTTGTTTGTGGCTTTTTTCCCTTATACTTCCTTAAATTTCTCCAGGGTCACCAAGCAGTAACAGCTCCAGGCTCTAGAACCGCTTGGGATGCAGGGGGTGGATGGAAGAAATGCCTGGTGAATACAGCTGTTATCCAAGTAAGTATCCTGCTGTATAGAGAAATAACAGAAAAAAACATCAGAAGCCCGAAGGTCCTGAGGGAGTCTGACACTGACAGATAGTGGGTTTGATCTCAGACGTGTAAAAAACCCAAACCAAAAAAAAACCCCAAACAAATTAAAAAATAAACCAACCACTTGGCTACAGGCTCTGTGCTGCATTGTCCTGGGTGTTAGTGACAGTGTCCTGCAGCTTGCTGTGTGTGTGTGAACACAACCATCTGGGTTTTTCACAATACTAATACAAAGCTACTTACTGTTAAACATTGTGATCCTATTGCTGTTAATAGGTGGGGCAGGGGGTTAGGGGGCATGGTTGCAGTGGCCACAGAGGGTGCAGACAGATTTTAAGATGCATATTATAATTGCCACAGGCATACCAGCACCTGACAATGCAGATAATGCAGAAACTCAGCTCTACTGTGGTGCTCTTTGTCCACCACTAACAAGAGCTAGCTCTTTTTTCTCCAGGAGCCGAGAGGACTGTATGGTTTGAGACAGGATGTGATAAATTGCCCAGAAAACTATTTTTTTCTGCTTTATGTATTTTCCCTTACAGAATTCCCCTGGGTGTTTTTATTTAAGCAAATGAAAACTTAAAGGCACTTGTATATGTTCATGTTTCAGTGAGTGCACTTATCTGGATTATTAGATTCTCTCCTCACTCCTTCATGGAGACAGACACACACACACAAGTAGTTTACATGTGTGCATTCAGGTAGGGCTGATGACAGTTTCTATAATTAAAGTTGCCAAACGCTTCCTGTTACAAGAAACTGAAACAGGGTGTTGTAGCTCTCCAAAACATGAATTTTGAGGGCAGGGTTTTCTGTAACAGGCCCATACAAATTATGTATCTATATATAGTAATTTCAGCAAGAATGTTCAGTTGGTTTACAACTGAAACATGACAAAACGAGGTTTCCTTGTCTCAAAAAAGATTTGTGTCATTAGAAGGCTCTAGTATTTCCACTTTCAGAGTGAGGCTTCCAAATATGAACAGAGAAGGGAGTTTCTGTTAGGGATGCTCCTGTTGTTATATCTATTAAAGGAAAAAAAAAAAAAAAAGAACAAAACCCCACAAAAAACTCCACATTTCCACTGTCAGTCAGACTAGAAGTCTTTGAAAGTAGCTGGTTTGCTGGAGTTCAACAAAGTTTGTAAGTTTGACAGCTAAGTCTTTCAAAGCTTCTGCTTGGATGGGTCATGGTTTAATGCAGGACTGAAACAGCCTGCCTGGTAATTACATATAATGTCAGGCCTGTGTGCTACCAACAAAAGAAAGGATTTTATTTCCCCTGTCCAAGAAGGAAAGCCCCTGCTGGGCACCAATACCAGAAATATGACCCCTTCACAGGAATGAGAGCTGGAATTTGCTGAGGAAGCAGGCGTACACTAGTGACAATGTGAAATGAAGTGAAAGGGCAAAAGCTTAAAGTGTAGAGGTGGCAGAGGGAAAGGAGGAAAAAAAGTTTGAAAGCAGTGAGGAAAGGAGATGGAGACTGCTGGGCAAGATGAACAAGAATAACATAGTTGGGGAGAGAGAGAAAGTTTGTGTGAAGAAATAGAAGAGATTGCAAGACTGGTTGGACTAGAAAAATGGAAATTAAATTAATGGAGCAAGAGACAGAGAGAATTATGAAAAGCGCCTAAAATACAAAGGGTGGTATTAGAATCATAGAATCATAGAATCATTAGGGTTGGAAAGGACCTTAAGATCATCTAGTTCCATTGGTAGAAACATCTGAAAGAGGAATACAGAGGTGATGCTGGGGAACTGGTAAGAGCATTTCAGACCGGGAACCAGCACGAGAAGGGAGGATGAAGCTGAGGGAAAGGAAACACAGACAAGGTGAAGAGCTGGCAGAGTAGAAACCAAACCAATTTGAGAAATGATGTGATGAACAAGAGAAAATACGTGGACTCTAATAGAAAATCCTGTCACTTATTAGTTGCTAATTTTTGTTTGTCATAAACAAGGCATCCAGAATTAGTGTGTTTTCCCCTTAATCTAATTTCCTTGTATCTGTTTCCCTTTTGTAGCCTGGGAATGTTTCTGTCCCCTAACCTCAGAAAAGTGTTGGGAAGATAAATGGTATCATGTTTGTGAAGCACTCACACTAATGATGAGCACCACAGAAACACCCAAGAGGAAATTAATAAATCTGTCTTCAGAATCCCATTTGTAAATGTGCAGTAAATAAGGCCTGGGGCAATATGTTGAACAACAAGCAGAAAGCAAAATACTGGATTGCTGCTCATTAAGTGAGCATAGTCCATTCAATGCACAAAAGGAGGTAGGAAAAATGCTGTGGAAAAAGAAATATGCTTGTATCATCAAAGGCTATTTCATAAGTCACACAGAAAAGAGAATCTGAGCTGAGACAGCACTAGCAATCTTAATTCTTTCCTAACCCTAAGAACGTTTGTCTTTATGACCTTAATAATGTTCTCTTAGTATTTTTGTGTTTGTGAAGTTGCATATGTATGTAGCATAAAAGGTTGTCTCATGAAGCTTGAAAAGCACAAGAAAGCAGTATGGTTTAAAGAACAGATTTCTGTTCTGTTCAAGTAGCACAAAACCAATTTCACTGTTAGAATGAGATCTGAGATATGTAATTGCATGTTATCTGGCATGGGCATAATTATAACTGTACTATGAATGCACTAATCTCACTTTTCATGCCCATCCAACCTTCTGTAGCACACTATTCCATTGCGAATTTACAAGCAGCTTTAACATGCTAAAAGGAATGAGCCAGGAGTAGTCAGGATGCTTTTTCCTAAGTTGTATTTTGTTTATAAGTAAATATAGGATGGAGTTGAAATGGCCCCTTCTTAATAAAGTGATGTTTGTAGTTCTACAGATATTCACTTAGTAGTACTACATTCCCTAGCAGACTGAGCTGGATTCCTCTGAATTAAGGATATGAAACGTGTACCTAGTGTTCTAATTAAAGCTGAAGGCCATTCATCTCTCTAATTGCAACAATGCCCTCCAGGATAATTTCATCCCAAATGTACCATTCTTCTTTTGCCTGAACAAGTGACTTAAAAACCATCTGGAGCCTTGCCAAGCACCGAGAGAAAAATTTATTGGCTGTGATATCACACCGGAAAACATTGGAGAAAGCTGAAGAGGTCAAGCAAAGTGGTGAGGTATTTCTATTGGGCTTCTGGAAGTATTGACATCTAATGCCTGAACATTAGCGATCAAATCATCTAATTTTGCCCCCAGACTAATAGAAGTCATGTGTTAGTAAGCAAAGACTTTCTAAAATGCTCTGTAACCTTTGAGGCTGCCAAGTTTTTTCTTCTTGAGGGGATGTGAATTAGTGAGTGAATTAGGTCTAGGAGCAGGATGAGGAAAGCCACAGAGTGCAGTCAGTGGATCCAGCCTCAGTGAGTAGGATTGCTGGGGCTGGGTTTTACAGACCCAGCATACTCTCTAGACTTACATTTTATTTGCACTTTGTAGGGCATAACCTGAAAATCTAAAAAGAACAAGAGTGTGCTTCTTGATCCTTTGGAGGTTGAGTTTATCACTGTCAACAGTATTTTACATATCTGAATGATTCATTTTAGTCATAGGGTACATCACTGCTGAAGATTAAGTGACACTAAATATCACTTACTTGGCCTAAGGACAGGCACTAAGAGGCTTCAACTTTCATTTAATGTGTTCTCCGGAGTGAGAATTTTCCTTCTGTGGTCTACCAAGCTATTAGAAACAGTGGGCACAGCATTGGAAAGGAAAAGAACTAAAGAGCTTTAAGACCTCAGTAAGGGAAACTACAATTTGTAGAATATGAACTTGATGTTTCTGTGTCATGTATTTTCTGCCTCAACTAGTCACGTGCTGCTGCAGCAACATGTCAAAGAGTTGAATTGAGATATAAATCCTGAAAGAGTGGTAACATCTCCTACCCACTGATTTTACTGAGAATTGAGAAGTTACCAACCAAAACCTTTGGAAAGTGAGGTTTTTTTATCACACCTAGTTTTCAAATGCAGAAAACGTGAGAATGCAAACATGTTTTTTTTCGTGCAATTTAGTGTGGCTTTTAAAGAAAGAAAACAAGAAAAAGAAAAAAGGACAGAAGCTGTGGTCCATTTGAATTCTGGCATTTCGGGGGGGTGTGGGGGGTGTTCTGTGATAAGTCCAAAATGGTTCATATGTTACTAGCAGCCAGATCCTCTCTCTTTTAGAAATCAGTTTGTGCTTCATAGCACCATATGAGGTGACAGAAGGGATGAGGCATAAATGAATACAAACCTAGGTACAACTTCGTAAGATCTTCTCTCCCTCTTTTAATCTGTTAAGAGCTAAAGCTTGAAAAGCATTTTTCAACCCAGACTTTCTTTTGCTGGAACACATTGAAAATCAATTTTCTCCATTGACAGACCTTGTGCACACCAAGAATCCGATTTGTTCTTATTTTTGTGGCTAAGATATGGAGATTTATGACTCCAGAAATTCTTAGTGTATGTGGAGGCTAAATTTCATGCTGTTTCTGGGGTTACTGTGTCCCCCAGTACACTGAGAGATGCAGCTAGTGCCACTTCAAGTGTCCCTAGGCACCTACTTGCAAGGTGACATCCTGCTGTCTAGTAACAGTGGCAAAGGTCTTGCAGTAATGGTCACAACACAAAATAAAGAAGGAAATGGTGGAATGATGGAGAGGAAGGTCCTGCACAAACCTGTAATCACTGACTATACCTTCCTTTGGGGGAGAAGAAAAGGAAGATGCTTGCAAAAGGCAAACTAAAAGGGGAAAGAAAATCAACATTCTCAGCCTCCTAATGAAGATTTTGTGCAGTTTCTCTCCTATATCTTACCCTGGACACTTACCCAGGAGCCAGATGTTGGCTCTGGTGGGACAGATCTTTCACACTGGTAGAACCTGGGAGTGTTGCATTAAAAAAGATAGTAAAATTTACATTCTTGAGAGCTATTTATACCCTGGTTCTGCAAGATACTCTTTTCTTTGTCTAGTTTATATACCTGAGTACTCCTATTAAGATCAGTCTACTTAGACATTTAAAATTAGGCTCAGAATTGGTACTTTGCTGAACCATGCCTTCAGTGAATGAAAACAACATTTGGCTTTACAGTTGCTGATTTTTCAAAGCCTCAGTCAGGGAAAAATAGATCATTAATGTATGTCTTGTTTTTGTTCTGCAGTGAACAATAGGCTTTAGCAACAATCTTACTGGTTCATGTACAGTTATGATCCCAAAATAAGGTCCAGGTTTTAGTCACTGATACTCTTTGTACTGTAAACGTTTGATAGTGAGATAGTGAAACTCTTTATCTTCGGGCAAATTGCAAGAGCAAACTTCAAGTAAATTGAAGTGGGGTTTTTAATGGAATCTATAATCTGTCTAGAAAGGTACATAGGAGTCCAGAAAAATGCAAGATTGAAAAGCATGCCATTTGTTATAAATAGAATGGCTTTCCTTAGACACTGTTTCAGATCTCTCATCTTCTGCTCAGACAGATGGAGAGAAAGCTTCAACCCAAAGCAGTATCAACATCACTGCACGAGTCAAACATATGAGGGCAGGTAGGACCAGAGAATGGTTTACAGCTGGCACACAGCAGTCCTGTTGTCTCTGCTGGTGCCAACTCTGTCCTATTTCTCAGTGAATGTGTTGCTGCCGCTATGATGCCACCATGATGCCTGGGGGAGGATGTTGTTCATATTTGGTTGATGAAACAAGATATGTTAGTTTGCCCCATCCCTACTTATTGCTGGATTCCACCCTAGATAATCTGATGCCATTCCCAGAGCATACACTTGCAGTTCTCTCGAGTTCAAGAATAAAAAATACCAAGTATTTCTGCTGGCGAGTTACTGTGTTTGTCATTTCCTTTTTCTCTACTAAAATACCAGAAGATAACTGTATTTTTTCCTTTATAGTCATGTATGATCTCCTGCTCTTCAAGGGCAGAGATCACTTGTGTGTGAGAAAGAGAGAGAGCAATTGCTTATTGATGTAATGGAAGCAAATGATCATAATGTAAAGGGCAGGTAAATGACAGCATCCTTCTGAAAGATATGCAGAACCTCTCCTGCTTCTTCTGAGGTATTTGCAAATGTTGGCAATTAGTTGCCCTAAGGTGAGTTTGAAAATGCACTACCAGAGTGAAAGTTCAGAATATGAGTAATTAAGGAAGTCCTTATCGCTGTTCTCGTTTTCTCTCTCTTCTGTTTCAGTGGTGTTTTGTCTCCTCTCCACAAACATGACAAGAGCCCTGAATGCTGATAAAGCAAAGCTTGGCAGAGTCCCAGGCAAGCTATCTTCTTCTGAGACTGCACTCTGGTGAGCTTCTCACTTGTTTTGCAGGTATGTGACGATTTTCATAGGCTGGACTGGTCACATTTATTAGCAAATGAAGAGAATTGGGATTTCTAATTATGGTTAAGCCTGTATTTGCATACTAGTATTATATATATTTAAGAGAGCTTTTCTAGGCAGACATAAGCTCATTCTGCTTGTGCTCCAAGCCAACATATTGGTCTGTAGGAGAAGAGTTTATTAGTTCAGGCTGGTGCCTTAGTAACTGTGGCTACAGGGTCTTGGTGTGAAGTACACAGCAAATAATTCACCTGCTGCACAGGCATAACTTTGAGTGTCCAGAGTCACATCCTTCAGTATGACATGAGTTACCCCTATGGGAAGGCAGTGACTCCACCTTTGTCTTGTTGCATTTCCAACCTGGGATACCTGTGCACTACCAGTGTACACCAAATGCTGGTGCCTCCGGAAGAGAGATCTTTCCCCTCAATTGGAGGACAGCCGTGGCTTGAGGTTCTCTTAAATTCAGCGCAACACTCTCAAATACAGATGATATTAGAGGCATTTTGAGAGCAATTTCTGACTCATTGTTTATAACGATTTCGTATTAGTTTTGGTTAACTATTTTGAACAGTTTATTGCACAGCTGAGCAAATTAATATACAGGGCATTGCACTACTTACAGCATTAGAAATTTTCAAGGGAGTAACAATAAATAGCTAATAGGTAGTGACTTCTCATCCACTAATATAATAAAATTCACCTGAGACCTGAAAGTTGTTGTAGAGAATCAGAGATTCAGCTAGGTTGGAAAAGACTTTTAGTATGTTATACAGCACCTTAGTGGTCTACGCTTAGAGGGGAGAAAAAAGAAGAAATAATGAGAGGCCAATAACTGATTGATGACTCTAGTTCTAAATAAACCAGGCACTTGTGGGGCTGAGAAAGGTTAGGCATTCCAGAAAAAGATTCTGGAAGGCCTTGTAAGAATTCTGTCAGAGCAAGAAGTAAAATCCAAGCATCCCATGTCTAATCTAGTACATTTTTTATAAATACTGATTATTTTTCCATCGCTATAGCTTATATTACTGTTTACAGTATGTTTCTGCACAAGACCTTATGTATGCTTTCCTCTGCAACCTGTATATAAATCAGAATGTTCAGATCCCAGATCGCTTTCACCTTTCAGACCCATTTTCAGATATTCAGCAGGACTGCTTGATAGCTTTCTATTTAGCCTTGTTTTGCTAGTGTCCCGCAGGAAAGCCTGTGTCACTGAGGCATCCTGACAATGCCTGAGTCATTCTCTGTTTCACATTGCACTGAATCATTTGTAAACCACTTCACAAGTCATTGTTTATTTTAAAAAGTTAGTTTAAAACCCCCCACAAAACAGTTCTGCCACTCAGAGGGTTATATCCAATAATACAAGACTGGAGCACTGGCCAAACTGTTTGTATGTGATAACTGGGAGCTAAATCCACACTTCTCCTCCCTTTGTTATACCCAGAGTCTCTGTCTAATCAGTTGCTTTAGAATCAATATTTACAATAAAAGCTCATTCATGTGTTGTTTTCTAGTCCTTGACAAGATGACAAAAAGATTTAAAACAAAACAAAAAGGAATGCAAAGTGTCAGAATGACTTTCTGGATCAATGAACTTTCTTGCTAAAAATGCATTAATGCTTTGGGACACACTGTGTTTACAAACACCAGGCATTTATCTGACATCCAGATAGCAGAACTCTACTTGCGTTTATCAGCAAACTTGGGGAACATTTCTATTCCCTAAAATTACATTAAAAAAAAAGAGAATATTAACCAAGTTTGGACACCTGTCATTTGGGGCACTCTGTGTATTATACAGAGCCTGCAAACTCAAGGCAGTTTATCGCAGTATTTATTTTGACTGATGCTTAAACAATGCTTAATATTGCCCCTTCTGATGGCCTAGTAATGTGCTAACATATCAGAGAAAGGGTGTGGTGTAGGAGCTGGAGCAGGCCAGAACAGAATACACAGTTCCAATACAATAGTCATTCTTCAGAATGCACAGATAACTTCAGGGAATCAATTAACATTTTCTCTGTGCATCCTACATGCAAAGGATAATGATTATAAACCTAACAGAACATAAAGACTGAAACCTTCTTGCCTGTTGGATATTAAACTGGACTCTCACTACTTAGGAAATCTCTGTGCTCTAAATAGCTCACCGTCTCCATGGCAATGTGCAGTTCAGTTTTTAACTTTTCAACACATAAAAATGGTAATTTATTTGTTTTAAGCACTCCTGCAGTTATCGTGGCTATGAAAGCCTCAGGATCGGGTACTTCCCAGGAGCAGTGGAACCGTCAGGTTAAAGACTGGGTTAACTGCCAGAAAGTGTCTGACCTGAAGGTCATTGCTGCCTAATTATATTATTATTTCCTGGCAGCTCAGTTTGTGAAGTAGCACTCGAAGCATGAGGCAGGCAGCACGCTTGGAGCATTCAATGAAATTTGGTTTCTTTTGTTCTCGATGTTAAGGGCTTTTGTAAATGAATGCAGCCTGTGATGATGTAGAGGCATAATAAATCCTGTGCCCAGAGTGCCTGACTTTCACAGCTACTACAGTTACAAGGATTTGTGGGGTTTTTCCTAATTTGTAATAAGGGCGCACATTGTCACCTCCTTGAGGACACAAAGCAGTAAGTTTGTATTTTCAGCATTCTTTCTGTATTATTTAATCCTTTGATCCCTTGGCTCTCTGCTGTAAAAAACATTGGCCTTGAGACTGTCAAAGCCCTCCCTGGTGAAGTGCTAAGCATTTTGGTTTCAATCCAACAGAACACTCAGGCAGATGTTCAGCTTTGAGTATGCAGGTAATTTTTACTGGAGACTAGAAAAAAATCCCTTGTCCTAAGAGACTTCTGCGATTTTCTTGCCTAGAACTGGAACATTTATACCCATGGGATTTAACCTGCGGATCAGCAATCCCTAAATTTTCATCTCTGAAAAGAGCTTGAGAGAAATTCAGCTTTGCTTGGTATTTTGGCTAATAATGAGGTTGGCACCCTTCACAGATTTCATACAACAGTAAGTGGGGTACTGCCATGATGTTTTAGGAACAAAGGCACTGGGAATGCTTATTGCAAATTCAGACTTGCTTAGGACCGGTCTTTAAGGTGTACAAATTGTGAATAAAAGGGTTAATTAATTCCCACTAAAATGACCTTCATCAACACAACCCTTCTTACCATCTCCTCAACTGGCGTGAGCTAATGGCCACTCATGTGTCTCAACCACAACAGTAAATACATTCAAACTAAGAACTTCAACATGCTTAATTGTCTTCCTGAAACTCACATAAATCCTTGGACAGTGGAGGACCAGAGTTTACTTTCAAAGTGTGATCAAAAGGTTTGTAGATTATGTTAAGTTACAAAATGTAGTTGGGGGGATGGGGGGGAGGTGTTAAAACTGATTCTGGGAAATGATTATTTTGTCACTTGTTCCTACAACATGCTTGGCTTTTCTGTGTAGGGATTCTCCAACTGTGATTCACAGACCAGCACAGGGAACTCTTCTCTGGTCTGTATAATTTGTCTGGAAAATTAAGATGTGGGATATTGAGGCTGGGAAAGGATTGGTAATAGTGTTGATTACTGCCCTTCATAGCACCAACAAACAGAGTGAGCACTGTAGAACAAGTCACATCCGTGGAGTTCAGCGATTCCCCATCCGTTGCCATCACATTGTGCAGCTTTCTTTTGTTCTCCCCTAGGTATTCAGTCTTCCAAAGCCAGGAACATACATCTTCGGGAGATAAAGTTGCAACAGAATTTTGAATAAACTGAACATGGAAATGCTTCTGGCTCAGCTAACAGAATGACGTAGTGGCCTTGGAGAATGACACCATCTGCAGGCTGGCACTGCGGGAAATGAAGATGCGGGATTAGAAGGGTTTTGAACATGTAGGAAAATGATGGAGAAACTGCTTTGAAATGCTTACTCACGTCCTTCAAATCTTCAAGCTGGACAACAGGGAGATATGTATGAGCTTTAAAGAAAAGTACTTCCCAGTGAGTATGTTTACTTTTATTTTTATAATTAGCCTTATTGGAGAACCAATCCCGAGACTTCTGGGCTTGGAGGGAGTCTTGTCAGCATCACTGATCAAAATAAGGATTCGGGTTTATACCAGTGTAATAATGCAAATCCCAGTATAAGGGGATTTGTATAAGTAATCTTGAGTGTTATTACTTGCATCTAAGAAAGTAAACCCGTTCCTCCTAAGGAGACAGGAACCATAAAACCTTCTCATAAGGCTGGAAGGGGCATCCTAGAATAAAATAATTTACCATGGATTCACTGGGAGTGTTCAAGGCCAGGATGGACAAGGCTTTGAGCAGCCTGGAATAGTGGAAGATGTCCCTGCCTGTGGCAGGGGGTTGGAACTAGATGAGCTTCAAGGTCCCTTCCAACCCCAAAAGTTCCATGAGTCTATAATCTTTTTCTCTACTAGTTTGTTTCTTTGTTGAGGTTTTTTAAAACTATGATGTTGTGATGAAGTTCTCTGGCACCAGAAGTCATTCTTTTGCCTACAACGAGAACAGAATCTGGCGTTTCATCCACTGGAATAGCCAGATACCATCACGGAGTTTTCTGGAAACAAACTCTATATAATTTACAAAGAAATAAACAAGAAGTCTGGTCTTTTTGGATAGTGTCCTGGGTTCAGCAGTAGCAGTCATTTTTTCTCCTCCTTGGTAGCTGATGCAACGCTGTGTTTTTGACTCTTGGCCTGGGAACTGGGTGCTGATAGCACCAATGTTTTTAGTTACTGCTCAGATGTTTGGTCTGGCCAAGGACTTTGTGAGCCTCATGCTCTGCCAGGGAGGAGGGAAAGCCGTGAGGAAGCAGAGACAGGACACCTGACGCAAGCTAGCCAAAGAGGTATTCCATACCATAGCACGTCATGCCCAGGATGTAACTGAGAGTTACCTGCAAGGGCTAGTTGACTGCAGGGTTGGACTCGATATCGGTTGGTGCTTGGTTGGGCTGGGGGGGCAAGTTATCAGTCGGCAGGTGGTGAGGTGTTGTATTCTCTTCCCTTGTTATTTCCTTTATCATTATTATTATTGGTGGTAGCAGTAGTGATTTGTGTTATACCTTAGTTACTAAACTGTTCTTATCTCAACCCGTGGGAGTTGCATTCTTTTGATTCTCCTTCCCATCCCTCCGGGAGCAGGGGGAGGGCAAAAAGGGGGGGAGTGAGGGAGCGACTGCGTGATTTATGGCTGACTTTGTTTAAACCACAACAGATAGATACAGTGAAAGGACATATATGCAAACATATTAAAACAGTATCAGAAAAGCCAGAAACACGCTACAGCTTTTAAACCTATTCACTGAATTTAAATGGCTGTGGATATATCATATTAGAAAATAGGCACAAGCAGAATAGAGGTGGATCCATATCAGCACACAGAGACACTTAGAACACTTCTTCACTGCAGGATTCCATTCCTGTACCTCCACTCCTCAGTTTTGGTTTCAAGTGGTTCTGAACAGAATTGTATTTCTATAGACATGGCAGTCATTTACAATTATTTAAGAAATGTTGCAAGGAAACATGCATCTCTGGGGTGTTCACCTTGTTTCCCACAGCCAAACTGGTAGCTGTGTGGTTTGTGTCTTGTGCTGATGCGAGTGCTTGTAAAATCCTAATTCGTAACTAAATCTCATCTGTAGAACGACACAGGGGTGAAACTTGGGTTTTGGTTATTTGTCACTGTTCCTCATAGCAACTGGAGGGACATCTCCATTTTCTTCCTCCCCTGCCCAGGTTCCAATATACATGTGTGTTCACAGACCAGTGAGGCATTTGTGATGAGTCCATGCCAAGGCGTCAGTCAAAGACCTGGGAAACTTGCAAAAACACCTGTTCTTGTGTTGGGCTAATTAACTTTTGGTGTATTTGTAATTGTCCCTGTTAGTTAGAGGCACATGTTAGGAGCAGCACTAAAAAGACGGTAGTAGAAAAAAGATAAAAGGGAACTTTAAGAACTGCCTGTATTTGAAAATATAATCAAAATTGTTAACCAGAACCACAACGAACTTGGCAGGGCACTCAGCACACTCAAACCTGTGGTGGTTAGCATCACTTCAAGATACTGCTATGCCTAAGCTTGACCAGCTGGAAAGACTGTGAATTTGACCACCCCTCTTCTCACCCAGTGCTCTATGCACAGCCAGGCAGCATATGCTGTAGCATCATGGGTTTTCTCCTGAAGATGTGCCCTCAAGTTCTAGGCAACTGTGAGTGGCAGCCATAAAAAAGGCACTGCGATCAGTTTAGTATCCTGACCTGGCACAAATGCTAATGGCAGATGCTGGTGCCCTCTAGTAAGGAAATAGCTGTCCGCTCTGGATGAATTTACTGGAAAAAAAGGAGGATCAAATTCATTTTCTACTTGATGTGTGCATAAATCAATTCCAGTCCACATAGAGCAAAAGGAAATGGGCTGTGAGCAAAGTAGACCAACATTTCAGTTTATAAGTCACCAAAATGATCACAAATCATTATGATCACTGTTTACTCTTCATAATTACAGTTGTGAGTTTGACTTGAATCTCAGTGAAGTCAAAACAAGGCATACAGTGATTTCAGTGTGCTTTGGATAGGATGAAAGACAAAATAATTTTGTGTTCCATAGAGCAAAATATGTAATATGCCCCAAGACCTTTCTCGTGAAACATTAAAGCGTATGAGTAACTCTTCTCACATGACAGTTCTGCTATATGAAGATATGCAGCTGCATATGCTACCCTCCCTTAGAGCAGCAACCCAAGTTCTGTTTCTTCACTGCCACCTTTGGTTATTTGTAGCTTGAAAATTAATGTAAGTATTAATATAGAATACAAAAAGAAATGAGGCAATTTATAAATGACTTCTTTCTCTGAATGTTACCTAGAAATTTACAATTCAAGGCAATGAAGTACAATTGTAGAAATGAAATTAACTGCCCACTTGCACGATTCACTAAACATATTTCCACAAAAGCAAAACATATTTGTCTTTTGCTCATTAAAGGCATATTTTTTCTGACCATGTAATAGTGTCCCTGCTTGGACTTTGCCCAGTGCTTAGCCCAGCTTTACAAGGATATTATACCCTCAGTAGCTTGCTGCTGACTCCCTGAAGGTACGTTTTCATGGATGGTGTTTTCCAAAGCCTGTCCAAAATGTTTCACGACTAGCTTCTGTTCCATGTTCAGCTGAGTCAGAATTCCAGCATGTGCAACACCACTACCAGAAATACAAATAAAATGAAATGGAAAGATAAATATGTTTGTAGGAGGAGCAGTCAGCCCTAGCATTAGGGTGTGTTGCACATTCAGTCAAAAAGAATAACCCACTACATGCACAGAATATGACATGGCTTTCATGAGTCATAAAAACAAGAGTAAGCACAAAGGGTTCTGTTATTGCCCTGAATGTAGATGAGGACCTGGAAAAACATTTACAATAGATTTTCTGGTGTCTTTAATGGGTGGCATTTCTTTAAGAATCTCTACTTTCTTTCTCCTCTATTTCGTTCAAGGCATGGCTCATATTTTATAGCTCAGGAGTAGCAGGCTGTGATTAAATTTGTATATGGTGGTTTTTTTAAGTCTTAGGTATGAAAAAGAAAGAAGAACAGAAAATATACAGTCTTTTTTCTGCTCCTACGTAGTGACTCAGATTTGTTATACTTAATCATTTCCATTTCATCAATGTAAGACTGACTGCTATGGCATGGTATGTTACAGGGTAGATAATAAGATATGCACTGTTGTCATTAGCTTTAAGAAGTCAGGGTGATCAGGAGTCACAGAGGTTAAATTTTATCCTTTCTTCAGAAAGCAGTGGCTTGACTGCTACCCAACTTGAAGCTTAGACTATTTGTGTATGCAGTAGATTCATACGAACCTTTTGCAACAAAAAATACAACTGTGCCAATTGTAATTCTGTGAGATCTACCTCACCCATTCAAACCCTGTATTAATTAGGCTTAAACTGTCTCTTGTGATTTGACAAGGCAATACTGAAATCACTTTTCTCAAGTCAGTATTCCACTTCTTGGTGTCTCCAATTAGTACTTAAAAAAAATGGAAAAGAACACTGCAAAAACAGCTTTAGTGAATATGAGTATTTTTCACTGGAATATGTATGCTTATGATGAAAAAAATGCACAGCCTTCAGTCAGAACTGAGGTTCACTGTAAAGCTTTCTGCATATAGATACAGAGAACAGAATTTGGAGCTCTTTGTACAAGCTACAGCCTGTACAAATACAAAATAACCACCTTATTTTGCCCATTTAAAATTGCTCCCCAGTTCCTATATTTCCTTTGCCCCTAGCCTTGCCTGTGCAGTTCCAGTGGCCAGTCCCATGGTCCTGCAAAAGCTAAGAGGAATGGGAAGAAGTAATGACAGAGTTGGCAACATCTGAGGCCATTAAAGTGAATCCATAGCCTAGGCAGAGCTTCCTGCCCTACCAAAACTTTTAGAAGCACTTCTGTTCCACTTCCTTTGCCCAAGGAAGTTGTGGCTGCCCCATCCCTGGCAGTGTTCAAGGCCAGGTTGGACAGGCCTTGAGCAGCCTAATCTAGGGGGAGGTGTCCCTGCCTATGGCAGGGAATTAGAACTGGATGATGTTAAGGTCCTTTCCCTAACCAATCTCTGATTCTGTGATTCTATGATCTGTGTATTTGGGCTTAGCCCAGAAACCATCAGCAAAAGCTGCGAGAAGAGCAATGATTTTCCACAGATTTCAAAGAAGCCCATCTTTCGGGTATTGCCCTGTAGGTGTCCTGGGTCATAGGAAAATAACGCTGCCCCAAAACCTCTTTTGGGGGGGGGGGGGGGGGGGTGGGTTTGGGGGGGGGCAGTAGGGAAGCAGAGCAGTGCCGTAGGGGAAGCAGGATGTTACAGTGCTGTCTTTTGGGTACCTTGGTGAGATTCCTGTCGCAAATCCTACAAAAGTCATTGCAAAGTTGTGTGACCACATCCTCCTGCAAGGGCTTCAAAACCTGCTTGTTTTATGTCACCCTAATGAAGCCTGTTGTGGTTTAACTGGATGTTTATAGATGATGGGAGAAAGACTGCTTCATTAAGTCACCTAACCTTCTGTGAAGTGTTACAGCACAAGCAGAGCAGTCATAACCCTGCTGTGACAAATCAAAGCCTAATGAGTGAGCAAGAGTATTAAGGATGTGTCCCAGAGCACGGTAACTCATTACTGTAGCTGCCTGGCTTATACAGCAGCTTAGGAATCCTCTGTCCCTGTTTCCCATGCCTGTGGTTAAAATGACATTTCTTTGTGTTTCCTTATAGATGACACTGCCCTCAAACGGTAACATCAATATCTGATCTGCCAGCAGAGTGGCTGCCTTACACTTGACCCTGTACCTGCTCTACCCAGGTGGCACAGAAGACAAGCTGGAACTCCTCTTTGCTGGTTTCCCCTCCCCAGATTGCTGGAAGGTCAGGCTGAGGTGCCCCACAGCTGAATGGTGAGTGATGGGTGAACCTCATGGAAGCTGCCTGGCTTTCTGTGCCATTACAGTTTCACTTCACTTCTTGCATTCCTTTTAAGTGCAGCTGGTTTGAAGACGCATTATGATTCTGTTAAAAAGGACTGATCTTCTGATAGACCATACCTTCATGCTACAATTCTCTTGTCAGGAGTTCAGATCCTGTTTTGCACGAGTAATCAGAAATAGAGGTACTCTAACTTTGCTTTAAGTAAGCATGCCATAGGGAAGTGAGAGGGAAAGATGCACTCGGTGGTGAGAGGGGCATGAGGTGGTGTTGCTAAGGGGCTGTGTGTGTTCAAGGTGCCATGTATGCAGTCTTGGTTGATGACACAAGGAAGAGTTTTCCCTTTTATACATGTGATGTGTTTGCAAAGCCACACTAAGGGGGTTGTTGGATAAATTCCTTTGTATCGCTCAGAACTGTGTGTAATTGTCCAGCTACTTAGTCAGCATTTTTTATCTGCTCATTTATAACACCTAATTCATTTATGATTCAGTTAAGAATATATGTTGTTTCACCAGACCATAATCCTCTGTCGCTTAGTGTCTTGTGGATGAAGTAGAAAGGAGGCTCTACCAGCTCTTGATGTATCCCCTTTTGCAACAAGTGGAGAACACTAAACACGAAGCTTTCCGCTTGGATGGGATGTTTCAGTGGAGGTTCAACCACTCATCTCTTACCCAGAAACGCAAGGTTTCTCAATTTTTTTTAATTAAAACAATACCTTAATTTTAAAGCTGAGAGGTCAGACTGTGCCATCGGTTTAATTGGATTTGGCTGTGGCCACTTTAACGTTCATTTGTCACAGGAAAGGCAGATTTAGGGTGATTTTAGTCAGTCTTAAAACTCGCAAACAGAGGAGAAAAGGGTTTCTGGCGCGGTGAGTGCGCCAGGACCAGCACCAGGTCCCGGCCGGGCCTTTCCCGGGGCCGTACCGACCCTGAGCTCGGGGCGGGAGCGGCGTGTGGCGCCTCAGCTCGGGCGGCCGTTCCCACAGGAAGCGCGGCGGGAAGGGCGGGAGCCCGGCGGGAACAAGAGGAGAGCTGGGCCCGTGCCCACGGGAAAGGGCTCGGGGCTGGCGTCCTCTGGCAGGGAGCTCAGGAAACAAAGCCCTCTGCGCCGGCCAGGACGGAGCTCCCTCGTGAGCGGGCGTCTGGCTGTGGTGAGTGCCAGAGCCTGCCCGGGATGGCGGGGGTGGCTGTGTAGGGGTGGCCAGGCTGATGGCTTGCTCTGCGCGGTGGCGGTGCTGAGGGAGGAGGTGGAGCGGGTGAGGAGTGTGAGGGAACGTGAGGAGGAGATTGACTGGTGGAGCCACGCTCAGCGAAATTAAGGTTCCCTACCCAGTTGCCACCAGTCAGATGGGGGGGACCTAAGAGGCAGGGTGGGTTGGAAACAGGTATTACTCCCAGTTTATGTCACTTTCCCAAGTACCCCTCTACAACAGATTTGGGGTCCTGGTACTTGAGGATCAAGAAAACGAGGAAGATGATGGTGAAGTAGATAAAGGATCATCCAGGTGATGGATCTAGGTGACCAGCAGGGCCTGGGCAGTGATCATCCCCCTGTGCTGGGCACTGGTGAGGCCACACCTTGAATCCTGTGTTCAATTCTGGGCCCTTCACTACAAAAGAGACATTGAGGTGCTGGAGCAGGGCCACAGAAAGGCACCGGAGCTGGTGCAGGGCCTGGAGCACAAGTGTGATGAGGAATGGCTGAGGGACCTGGGGGGGTTTAGTCTGGCAAAGAGAAGGCCCAGGAGGGACCTTATCGCTACCTGACAGGAGGATGGAGTCGGGAGGGGGCTGGTCTTTCCTCCCAAGTAACAAGGGATAGGACATGAGGAAACAGCCTCAAGATGCTGGATATTAGGAACAATTTCTTCCCCCAGAGAGCAGTCAGGCATTGGAGCAGGCTGGCCAGGGCAGTGGTGGAATCGCCGTCCCTGGAAGTGTTCACAAGCTGTGTAGACAAGGCCCTCAGTGACATGGTTTAGTGGAGGCCTTGGCAGTGCTGGGGGAACAGTTGCACTTGATGATCTTGAAGGGCTTTTCCAGTCTTGTTGATTCTATGATTCTGTAGGTTAGGGAGCATCATTGAGGACCATGGCCAAAGACACAACTTAGGGAAAACTATCCCCAAAACTGCCTCTTCAAGAGGAAAATGAAAACAAGCTGACAACAATATGCCTGATGTGTTTGAGGTTCAAAACCTCACTCTTGTGAAAGCTTTTAACTTTTTGTTTCCAAATGCCAGCTGAGGCAGCCATAGCTATCAATTTTTTTGCATCCTGTACAGTGGCATCACACATAATAAGAGGAGAGTGGCAGTTAAGGGGTTTGTTCTCCCCTGGGACGCATCAATGGGAGTACAGGCTCCCCTGATTTGTATTTCATCCTTAATTGCTTCTGAAATCACTTTGATGTGCGTAAAACCGTATCTGTTTCATGTGTCATGGAATCAAATTCTTGCTCAATGTATTGCTTATTTTTGGACACAGAGCAGTGAATTTTTGCATGCAGAGTCATCTTGCCAAAACAGAAAAAAAAATCTATAAGAATTCCTAGGAAATACATTTTTTTCAGTTAGCAGCATGCAACTGATACACCATAGTGAAGCAACACAGTGACTGTGCTATCATGGTTCTTTCGGTGGGTAAAAGAAGAAAGTCATCTAAGATCTGTGCCTTGCCATTCCTCAACAGATTTCTTTAAAAATAGTTTATTTGGAATGGTTTCAGTTCTTGAGGCATGAAGCAGAAAGATCTATTTTGGGAAATTAAACAGTTTTGACAGCTGTTAAAATGACTTGTAGGTTGTCAGTGTGGTACACCTAAGCTGCAGGTAACAAATCCTTGGATACAGTCCGAGGCTTTCAGTACTTTTGGTACAGCAGGGTTTGTCTGGGGTTAGGGTGTACTCAGGGGGAATTCAGGATTGATCCCAGATGGGTACATAAGCTCTGTCTCCTTTCTGGACACCTGCAGCCCTGCTCTGTTAATTCCTGATACAGGAGCAGGGAGGCTGGCATGGATCAGGTACAATGTATCGTGCTGTTCTGCCTTGAATGGTGTGTTTCTAAACTGCCTCTCTTTTCCTGAATCACCCTATCCTAGAAACACTTCTATCAGTGCCAACTGTATAATCCCCACAGGGATGAGAACAGCATGGGAATAATACCTAATTAAAACTGCAGTGAAGTAGGTCAGCTAATACTTCACAAACAACAGCAAGTGCTTGAATTGTTAATAGTTCAGAGTTCTTGTATTTACTCTGAGCAACAAAAAAATTTGTATTTTGCCTAGAAACACAAGGAAAGTGCAAGTGGAAAACACTTGCCACAGTGGATTACAATGATAAATATTCATGGCCTTCAGTGAGTGCTGTACCTTAACTCCTGTCAGTACATTCAACAGTGAATTAATGCTGTTACTCCCATTCTTTTTCAAGATTGCAAGAGGATTGCCATAAGAGGGTTAAATAATGCAAGGTGAAAGAACAGATGAGAAAGCCCTGCTTTCAGTTGCATGAAATAAGACCATTGTAAAGAAATATAATCCCACTCTCAAATGCCACAATTGCTTATAATATCATAGGACTGTTTTCAGAAGGCCTGGATTCAGACTTTAGCCAAGTCTTCTGAAGCTTACTGGTCTGCAAAAGTGAGATACAGAATCACAGAATGGGTTGGGTTGGAATGGAACTCATCTAGTTCCAACTGCCGCAGGCAGGGGCATCCTCCACTAGAGTAGGTTGTGGCCTGCTGTTGTATCTTCTATTTACTCTGCTTTCCTCTGATTCTTTTATCTGAGATTCATCACCTTTTTGCCTTTGTCCTAGGGTGGAAGTAGCAAGAAAAGTAGCAGCATTTTCAGTTTCAGTGGGATCAAGGAAGTGCAGTGACTGATGAAATTTGTAATCATAGTGTTTGAAATGTTAATGTTTTTAAACTCTCGGAAAGAACACGAATTATTTGATTAATTGTTTGCTATGTCTAGCTAAATGAAGAAAGGTCTAGAGGCTCCCCAGAAACAGACGACCCCATTATAGTGCAATGCAGCAGGCACTTTGCAAACAGACAACCCCATTATAGTGCAATGCAGCAGGCACTTTGCATCTGACCATCTCTGCCCCAACAGTCTTGCAACTTACCCACAGTGGTTTCATATGAGAAGCAGGTTTCCTCACTTAAAGCTGCTGTGAGCCCATGTTTCAGAGAAGAGCCCTATTTGAGCAGTGCACAAGTATTTGATGTGATAAAAAAAGCCCCAAACCTTTAATTTCATTTATAAATATCAACAAATCAATCTAGGACAAGACACCATAAGTTCTAGGTATCGCTTTTTATGCATCTGTATGCATATAAATACAGTTCAGCACAGTTGTGCAGAAGATACTCTTTCAGCAAAGCTTTCAGGTGGTGGGGAGTTATAATCCATCCTCTTACACAGCAATTCCTCAATGACTAACCCACCAGAAACATCTCCCCTAGCCTTAATGATGCCTCTTGCCTTAAACACACTTCTTAAGTAGCCTTTGAATAGAGGGGGACCTCACCCCTGAGTCCCTAGGAAGTAGGCAAGAGGCTTACAGCAGTCTGGGCTAACCTCTACCTTTCTAGCCAGGTAAGTAGGTGATTTACTTCTGCTGAGTTGTATGGCTCCTTCTGGTGTTTTGAAGGACATTCTCATGCCTTTCTTTGCTAGAGGTTTTTAAGCCATGCTGCAAACCTGGCACTTTGGTTGTCATGTGAGGTTTTGGAGCCTGGTGATCATGTATCAGCTAATAGGATTTTGTGGTTGGCTTAAGAAACAAACAAGACGACCCAAACAAAAACAACAAAAAAAGAGTTGCCTTTGGTAACTTGAAGAAGGCCAGACTTTGATCTCTCCACTGCTTAGTACTTGATTGTTTCATTTAAATGGTGCAGATTCCATTTGGAAGAAAAGGGGATTGAGCCTTAAAGAAGCTGTCAAATGTTGGAGCTTGTTGAATTCTCAAGGTGAGAAGCCTGCATTGTACCAAATCAGCACCTGAGAAGCCCATACCAGGGAAGAGGGAGTTTTGCTAAAAGTCGATCGGGGTTTTGCTCTCTCCTTTGTGACCTGAAGTTACAGCTTTGGTCACTCTCTATTCACCCAATATTTGATCTACCAAAATAAGAAAGTTCCTAATGAAGGAGGGGAAAGCAGTGAATTTAGAGTTGGGTTAGATTACCTATCCAAGCTGGAGGCAGAAAGTTTGTCCACACGGGTAGTGACTGAGTTTCGTTTGCTGTGAGAAAGCACAGGCTATTCCATTAGGACTAGCAGCAGTCTTTTACTAGGGGTGGACTGGCCCTGGCCCTGGCCCTGCACAACTCCTACCAGGTTGCATATGTGACAGGAGTCTCTATCCAAAGCCACAGAGAGCTTCTGCTGGAAAAAGAAATCTATTCTCTGAAACACGACCAGGACAAGGCAGGAGGCATATGGCAAGTAGCTCAGTCAAGGCAGTTTTGGGTAGGTACGAACACTGTAAACAGTTGAGTAGGTAGACATCTTGTGAGCATAGGCTGCTTCAGATTTTGGCAGCTACTCAACAGGGATTTTCTGAATCGCTGTTTGAATTTAGGAACCTCAGTGTACTGCATCCTTTTTAGAATCATAGAATGGTTTGGGTTGGAAAGGACCTTAAGATCATCTAGTTCCAACCCCCCTTCAAGGACACCTCACTCTAGACTGTCACCCAAGGCTCTGTCCAGCCTGGCTTTGAGCACTGCCAGGGATGAAACATTTACTACTTCTTTGGGCAGCCTGTTCCAGTGCCTCACCACCCTCACAGAAGTCTTAGTCCTGAATCCTTCTGGTCTTTGAGTCTTCATCTGTAAGATGATGACTGCAATATGCCTGCAGCCATGGCCGTAGTGTAGTCCGGGCAGGTGTTAGCCCACAACATCTGGAACTTTAAATTGAACATATAAATATAGTAACAGTTCTTGCAAGGTCTTGGGACTGAAGTGTTTATGTTTAGTTAAAATGACCCACATTTAAAGTGAACAAGATTGAGCTATTCACACCCTAATGAGAAGAAATTGCGTCGGCCAATCACAGTTTGCTAGCCATGTGCCTGTTTTATAAATGAGATTAATGACTCAATTTGCAGCAAGTGCTTCAGCAAGGAGAAACTTATTTTGTTATACTAATTGTGTCACATATGTGCCCCCAAACACCAACTGTGCAGAACTGGATTTCCCTGTGGTGCTCAAGATGGCTGGCCTCTGTGGTTTTAGTAATGCCGCTGCTCCCATTTCTTTGCAGCAACTGATCATTTTGATGTTTGTGTTTGATACTGCAGCATAAATGCTGGTGTTTATAAGAAATTATCATGCACTATAATCCTCTCCATTAGTGAAAGGACAAGAGCTTCTCTCTTAACGTAAGCTGTTCAACCCTATTTTCCCCATTGTCATGAGTAAAACTCCAACATTATTTATTTAGGCATACAATTAGTTTTTAATTGTAATGAAATAATGTATCATTGCCAGAGCCTTTAATTTGCTTGATAGTTACTGTGATTTTAATGGCTTTTTAAAAAACTAACATCCATTTATAGGGTGTAATGTATTACTTTTAAGGAGTAAATTAATTCAGAGAGTTTCATCACATTAATAATTACACCTGCTTTTGCATTTCTTCCTAACAGGTTTGTTAGGAAAACAGGATTTACTGACAATGGACCAGCATCCACTGCCAGTGTAAATTAACTTTGCCACACAGAAATCTTGCTTTATACCAGCTGATGTTCTGCCTCAGTTTGTCCATTATTCATCCCTTTATTCTGATGTCGGATGCAGTTGTCCTCACATTTTTTCATGCTTTTTACATTGTTATAGTTTTGATGTCAGTGGAATTGCTCAGAATTCAGAGCAGAGTTAACAAGAGAACTGTATGTAAGCATACCATGATGGGATTTTCTTTCCAATGACAAATTTAAGATTCCCCCCCCCCCCCCCCCAGCTTTTTTACGCAAATATAGTTGGTAAGAAATATAGTGTAGGTTTGAATAGTTTGTTTGGCTGTGGAATTATAGAATTATTTTTATAAATCTGTTTCCATACTTTGTGTGGTATTAAATGTGCTTCTGATTTCGGCTGAAACTGTTAGTGGCTCTTATATGCATAGCTTCTGTCATATCATGGAATTCTCTACCAATTTACGGTGTGAAACTTTAATTTTGTGTCTTGGCAAAATACTGAAATGAGGAGTACCACCTCACTGTGTGGGTTGTATGTGCATTTCCAAGGTGGTCTGTGAAAAATCCAAAGTAGACACTAGTGCCTTTGAAGCCTACAAAGCAGCCTACAGTGCAAGAGCAGCCTCTTTGTTGCCCGCTTTGAAAACCCCTCTGAAATAGTGTTCCAGGTTCTTTATTGAAAGTTAGCATGCCCCTCAACTTCATCCTACCCTCCCGTGCTCAGCCTCGTGACAGCAGTAAAAATGATTTGCTTGTGCTCTGTTATATTTAGGTGATAGTCTTGGATAATAAACTGAGTGTTACTGAGTTCAGGGGCCTTCACCAAGCGTGATGTATAGTCTGTAGATAGACCTGAAGATGGTGCATGGACAATTCCCTTCTGTAAAATGACTTAAGACTGAGACACAAACGTAGGGGTGTACATGGCTGTGCTCATCATACCCATGTAGCATACAGCTGTGGAGCAGTGCTGTTAGTCATCATGGAAAACATGAAATTCACAGATGCAGCACAGACCACTGTTTGCGTGGTGTAGGGTGTGCCCTCTGTGGCCTCATTGTGGTGCTCTGTGAAGCAAAGAGGTTGCAAAGGGATTGCAAAATTTCAGAATCCAGTAGGCATCTCAGCGTGGAGAAGAAAAGGCACTGGGGAGACCTTGTAACAGTCTTACAATACACAAAGGAGACGACAAGAAATCTGGTGAGGGACTTTTTACAAGGGCATGTGATGACAAGACAAGGGAGCATGGTTTTAAACTGAAAGAGGAGAGATTTTTATTAGGCATTAGGAAGAAATGCTTCCCTGTGAGGGTGGTGAGGCCCTGCCACAGGTTGCCCAGAGAAGCTGTGGCTGCCCCATCCCTGACAGGGTTCAAGGCCAGGATGGATGGGGCTTGGAGCAACCTGGTCTAGTGGAAGGCATCCCTACCTATGGCAGGGGTTTGGAACTGGATGAGCTTTAAGGTCCCTTACAACCCAAGTCATTCTATATTCCTATGATAACTTTGCTTATAATACATAAAAAATATTTATTTCTGTTGTCTTGTCTTCTGGAAGAGCTTTACAGACTTGAATATTGTTATATACTATGGTATATAGTTAGCAGATTTCCCTTACTTAGCAAGCCTCCATGAAGGAAGAGAGAACTATATTAACACGAAACCCCAATGTCAGCATGGCATCAGCTGAAAATACTTCACAGAAATGCAATATGCTGAGAGTGTAATATTCTGACTGCCTTCTTACAGAGGAGACTTCAGACTGAAAGGTTTTCCTTGTTAGGGTATGTGTATTTGTATTCTGACCTAGCAGCTCCCTGGTGGTGGAGCATATCTAGGCAACTTTATAAATTATACAATACACTGGTTACTTTGCACTGTCTTTTTGAACTCCTGATACAAAATGTTTAGTATGGACAGACCTGATTGCCAGTGATATAAAAGAGAGGTTGAGGAACATGGAAGTAAGTGTTTACTACAGGGTTTGAGATTATGTTTCCCCCACTGTTTTACCTCAGTAGCTCCCATCTCCTGCTTCTGCGCCATGGTGTGCATCCCCAGGTCAGCATATGGGGTTTTGTTCCAACACTTCAACCTCATCTGTTAATAGCAAGGGAATGGAAGTAAAATATGGTGCTGTGCACACCACCTGAGTAGTGTGTATTTTGTGTTCTGTCTGCTGCCTTATACAATGGATTTTTCTTTATCATGTAAGCCCATCGCAGGAGAAGTGAGTGATGGCAGTGTGATTGCAGCTACCTCAAGAAAGTATACTGGCCAAGGCTAATCTTGTATTTGTTAATACCATACTACTGGAAGGTGCTAGTTAGTATAATGCTAAAAGCAGTGTGAGAAGTGAGATACTCAGCTAAAAGAGTTTGTGTGTTGTTATTGCATGGGAAATCCCAAGTTGTCCATTTTTGTTTTTTTTTTTTTTAAAGTGAAGGCTTGGCAGCTATGACTTTTGTTATTTGCGTAGAACTATAGCTGCATAACATGAACAAATACACCAGGTTTGTAATTCTGCAAAGTACTCTGTTCCTTGTGTTCTTGTTAGCTATGAGGGAGAAAGAAACAAAACCCAGGTGAATTGATCATCCCTTTGCTTCTTCCAATAATTTTAGTTCACATGATGTTATTTTTCCTACTAGGCTTGCAGCCATAGCTGACGGGCTTCTTTCTGTTAGCCTCTGTGGTCTGCTCTTGCATTTCCTATACATTTCTTGGCTGCTGGGTGGATGTTATTATGGCATATCCAACCTTTGGTATAAATTATTTATTCTGAAAGTTCAGTATCTTATAACATGTATGAAGGCTCTTGCATTTATTTTTAATGCATCTGCTTTCCTGAGTGCTTTCTACATCCAGAGCTACCACCAGAGAGAACTGTCAGTCTTGAAGCAAAAGGGAGAAACTTTTAGACCATGTAATTCTATTTTTCTGGTTATAAATGATACATTTCTGGTAAAGAGTGGAGCAAATGGTTGTTACCATTTTGAAGAACCTGCCTTGGATGATGTGCAAATGTCTCTTCCCATTTGGTGTGAAGTCTCAGTGAGCAACTCCCTGCTCACCAGCATGTGACTTGCATGTTTATCCCTTATGGGAAGCCAGTGAAATCAGTGAAATATTGAAGGGCAGTTGTGTGACTGTTAGGTATAAATGCTGAAATCAAATAGAGATGCAGCTAGGGCAGCAGTAGCCAGGAGTTGTTTGGTTCTAGAAGGCAGTGAAGGTGAGCTGATCTTTGCTGGCAGTGGTGAGGGTGGTCATGGCTATCTGTGCAGTCAATTGGCAGTTTGATCCCTTTATTCCTTCACAAACCTCAGCCTGCACCACAGATTTAAAAATGTGCAGGAATTGAATGTTAGATAGGCATTATTTAAGGGAAACATTAATGGTTGTGGGAGGATGTTCTCTTTTTTTCTGTGGGGGTGGTTTGGCAAGGGTTTTGTAGGTTTCAGAAGTCTGTTCGAGATACCATCCTTGAATTTATGCTGATTTAGTGCTAAAACTGTATTATGCTTAAAAAACAAGCAAACTTGCCTTATGTGAGATGTATCAGACATGTTAGTTGAATTAAAATCTGGCTGGTCTACAGATAATACAGCAAATGGAGATCTAGCAGCACAGGAGACATGGTCTGTAGTAGCATGCCTTGAAAACTGGAGGTTGGTACTTTTTAGTATTTCTACTGACCGCCTAGGCAGTGATATAATCTCGTGATTTGTAGACTTTATCAGAGAAGAGAACTGGTAATTGTGTGAATAATGTCCAAGAGAGATTGAAAGAGGATGTGAAACTTCTGGAGTGAAATCACTGGAAAGGTTCAACAATGATAAAAGGAAATGTTCCATGTGTGCTCATGTAGCATGTGTGGAGACTTAACTGTTTGTTAGCCTTTCAAGAGGCTTGTGTAATGTGATGCAGAGAAATTCTGAAACTGGAAATCAGTCCTGAAACATGGGAAGTGATGCGACAACAACTGTTACAAGGTATGTCACAGTACAGTAGGTGGAAGGTAAAGTTGAACTAATTCAATTTCAGAATAAGAGGAGCTTTCCAGGCACAAGGAAGGAGAAGGAGCAAAGAAGGCACTCCATAGAAACAGGATCATTAAATTCTGAGAGAGTTTACCTGATGAGTGGACACCAGGAGTCTTTCAAATTCATGTCACAGAGAACTTTAAGCTGTGTTGTCTGGGTGGATTAATGGAGAAGAAAACAAAATTTTCTTCTTCAGTCTTAGTGTATTCATAAAATTTTGGGTTTGAATTCCCTAGTTAGTACTTGCAGTTAGTTCCTGAATTTTGTGCTTCAGTCAATTGTCTGCAGGCCTTAAAGGGTGTGTGTGAGTTTATTATTATCTTTTATTCCCCACCCTTAAATGTACAACTAGAGAGATGCAGTCAGAGCTGGAAAGAGGCCAGAATTCAAAGCCTGGAAGTCTATGGATGGATGCTGCTCAGTCCATTCTCTGTTTCATTGTTCTTAGCTACCTGGCTAAGAATGTGCATGCTCAGGATCAAATTCTAATCTATTTTAATTAGAGGTTTTGTCTCGGTGAATGGGCTAGGCTGTCCAGCAGATCAGACTGTGTAATGTAATGGCCTTTTCTGGATTTAGCATTAGTAGATAGAGCTAGGTTGGTCCTTACCAAATAATGCTGTGCTTGTGGTGTTAAATTGCATTGGCTTGTACTAATACAAGCCATGAAAATGTCAGTGCTGCACAGTACTATGAACTAGTGGAGTTGCACTAAAATTAAAGGTGTTACATCTGCTTAGATTAGTCGAGAATTTGGTCTGCAACATATGGTGTCTACATAGTATTGAAAAAAATAAAATCCCCAAACTATCAGATCACAGCCGTGTTCCCTCTAAAATGACAAGTTCAGGTACTATGTCATGTCTCCTAAAAATAATTAAAAAAATGCTTTTATACACAGAGTATAAAATATCTTCTATCTCTGTTTCTGCCAATACTCTTCTTACTTTGGCTTGATTGAACCAGAAAATTGCAGATTAGGTCTAATTCATGTTTCACTTGCATTAGTTTTATTCCTTTGCTTCTACATTACCTTCAGTTAACTTACTCAAGACATAT